TGGTGACGAGGTTTTCAGCCAATACACGACATTTCATGTCTAGAGTTTCCTGTCATATCTACAAGTTGAGTAAAACGTTCTGGGGGTAGTTACCCCCTCCCCTAACACACACACAAATGGTCCCCACACACACATACAAATGGTAATAAAACAGTGCAGTCATGCAAAAGACCTACTGCTCGTATAATCATTATTTAGCTTTACAAAATGTATGGCAAATATATGCTATCCCAATTTTTTAATATTTTTTTTACATATTAAGTTTGAAAAGGTGAATAATAAAAATTTCATTTCCCATTGCTTGATAGTGAAAACTGTGAATTCCCAAGAGCCTGGCTTCTCCCTGTACTAAAAGACAATATCAAAGACACTGAACTCAAGTATTTCTTTGATGTGATGTTGCCTCTTGCTGCAGAACTACGAACTAAAGGTACCATACACACTGTCAGCACAGACAAACAGCACCTTGGCTAGCCCTTTTGACCTCTATACATGTAGAATGTTTTAGAGAACTAAAAACGTGGTTCTCTTTTTCTTCTTCTTCTTCTCTCAAAGATGAAATTCGGTTTTGCAATAATTACCACTTTTACAAGCCACTTTTACAAAGTTAACCAATTACTATGTAGAGCGAAAGCTACAGCCAATCAAGATAGAGAAGAATCAGTATCACATTGACATTACCCAATCAAAATGTTTTGTTCCCAACGATTAGGCTTCGTTGCTTGCTCTTGAATGGCTGTGTTTATATCCTTTATTATGATTGGTCAACCTTGCACAGTTCCAGCTAGTGTGTCCGCACTGTGAATAATGTCGGGCTATAAGTATGGTAAATAGAGCAATGCAAAAAAAAAAAAACTAGTATTAAGGTACTTCTGGTTGTAAACTAACATCTCCAGGTTTTCATCAAGGGTCATAGGTTGGAGAATGCTCAAGTAACTGAGCAAAATTTTCTGGCATGAAAATTCATACCATGTAATCTTCTCTCATTATTTCAAAACTTAATGAAAAGCCTGTCAGGATTTTGGGACTGTTGGGCTAGTTCATGATCTTTTCCTATCATTTCAAAACCTAATGAAAACCCTGAATCTGCTTCCTGATCAATGCCAGCAATTTTTAGATGCATGGATTGGTATTGTCCCTCAGCTTTGCAAATTTGTCTTTCTATAGCTACCACATTGAAGGAAGCAGGGAAAGAAGTACAAAGTAAAGTTTATGATACTTTACAGATTCAGGTGAGTGAAATCCACATTTTTGTACTGTATTTTTTTTCCAATGTAGTTCGTATTAAGATTACATCTTATTTTTTTTAGATATGGTCTCTTCTTCCTGGTTTCTGCACAAGACCAACAGACATTTGTCAGGTAATGTAAAATTTTCATATTTTTCAAACTATATTTGGACGTTTACCTACCCCTTGTGGGATGGGTATCCATGAGTAGTGTCTGTACTGACACATTTTGCTTGTGTCAAATCTTCGTTTTTAACTTCTTTGAATTTTGTATTTCTGTTGCAGTCTTTCAAGTCTGTAGCTCGTATCCTTGGCATGGCGTTGACTGAGAGACCAGATCTTTGTCTGATAGTTTGTCATGGATTGAGATTACTTGTGTCAAAAACAACAAAAGGTAAGAATTTTCATTTACCAAATCCGGTCCTCATCCATCCATCCCATCCCATCCCATCCATTCACATTTTCATTAATCCTCAACCTACCGATTATTCATCCCATTTTTATTTCTTTTGGATTTTTCAGAAGAGGAAAAGAAGGAGTTGTCTTTATATGCAAAGAACTATCTTCCCATCCTATTCAACCTGTACACTGGTGAAGAGAAGGATGGCGACCCGGACAAACTGCCAATATTAGAAACTATACGAGCATATCTAACCATCACTGATACACAGGTCAGTATTTGTTAGAGGCAAAGTTATTATTAAATCCATATAACTCATTGTGTAAGTAAGAACTTTTGGCATGTACACGATACACATGACGTAACATTGAAATGGCTTCCCATAAGAATGGTTAAAATATGAGTGGGAAACTGACTTAAGTCCCGTTTACACTGGCTATTTTTGCGGCGATTTTGGCTGCGATGTTTGTGGCAATTTTCGGAAATACGAAATCTTTTGTCTCATCCTTCAAAAGAGACATTCGTATAGGAAAATCTTGGTATCCTGAAAAAAACTTTACAAGTAAATTCTTTACCATTATTTATTATGGACAAAATCGCAAAAAAAAAATCGCAGCAAAAATTGCCGCAAAAATCGCTAGTGTAAACGGGGCTTTACAGCACGTACACAGTACGAAATGTCGTAACATTAAAATGTCTTATATAAGAATGGTTATCGTATGAGTGGAAAACATACGGTACTGACTTACACGTACTGTCTTGTCTCTTTAGCTGGCTTCAAGGTTTCTTTCCAAAGCAATTGAAAAAGTTACAAACGAGGAGACGTCTGTGTACTCGAGGTTAGGAAAAAGCGTTTCGGTTATTCATATCTCTAAAAGATCGAGTGAGAGACTGGTGAGAAGCATGAGAAATGTGAGAAACAGTTATCCAGCAGTGTATTGGAAGTTTGGTAAACTTTTCTTGACAGGAACCACATGATGGACATGATCATTGCTATGATTCCTTACGTTGAACGAAGCAACATCGAAAAGTTATACAACATCGTTGTGCCCTATCTTAAGGTAAGTTATTGTCGCTCCTAACTCTGCGATRCATTCATTTACAACCTTCAGTTATTTCCCATTTTTGGCAGCGTTAAACCATGTCTTAATCTGCGTTTCCCCTAGGTTCAAGATATCTCGCAGCAAAAGAAATCGTATCGAGTCATCGAACAGATCTGCGCTTCGAGTTCACCAGCCTGCATCAACTTCGTCTCGTCGCATCTGAATGATTTACAAGAAATACTTATGGAAGCTCTTTCTTCTTCCAGCTCGGCATCTAAAGCAGTAAGACGCTTGTTATTTTTCCAAGGAACGTTTTAGTAGATCATAATGAGATTGAATTTTATTGTTGTCGTTTTAGCCTCGTTTAAGATGCCTCACTCACATTGTACAAAAACTGGACACAGACCAGGAAAACTTTATCAAGGCAATCGTCCCAGAGGTGAGTATCTTTCATACAACATATCTTTAAATCTACTTTAGACAGATTTAAAAACCAACCACGCCCAATTTCTATTGATTGACGGAGGGTTTGAATTTCGATAGAAAAACTGTCCCGGGTTTTGAATTCAGCATTGATACTAACAGGGGAGAGCGGGGCTGAATTCAAAACCCGGGACAGGTTTTCCATCGAAATTCAAACCATCCATCAAACATTAAAAATAGGTCTTGATTGTTTTTTAAACCAGTTTAAACGCACGTGCTCGGATTTACATTGAAACTCAAGACCTCGGGCCTGAAGCCCTCGATCATCCTTGATTAAAAGGTCTATGATTACTGATATTGTTACAGGTTATCTTGTGTACCAAAGAAGTGAGCGTTAAAGCAAGAACTGCAGCACTTACTTTACTTGTCGATACGTGTCACGCTTTGTGCCGCAGTCAGGGAATGACCAGACGAGGTAGGCCCACTTGTACAGTAGTCTCTTTTAGTCACTCTGTTGTACTTGCGTTACGTGTCACGACATCCTAGGGAATGACCAGACGAGGTAGGCCTACTTGTACAGTATTCTCTTTTAGTCACTCTGTTGTACTTGCGTTACGTGTCACGACATCCTAGGGAATGACCAGACGAGGTAGGCCCACTTGTACAGCATTCTCTTTAAGTCACTCTGTCGTGCTTGCGTTACGTGTCACGACATTCTAGGGAATGACCAGACGAGGTAGGCCCACTTGTTTAGGGTTCTATAAAATCTTACTAGCTGTACCTACCAGGTGTACTTGGGGGAAGTTCAACTAACTACCTTGCGCACCACAGACTGTTTATCCAAAAACTTTGAGCATCAGATATCCATTCATTTGGCCTCCCGCATACATTGATGCATTCTTTTTTTCTTTCCAGATGGTCTTATTTCGTATCTTCAGCTAGTCATGGCTGGCCTGGCTGGCTCTCCTCACATGGTCAGTGCAACCATCATCTCCATCTCTAGGATCGTGTATGAGTTCAGAAGTAAGTCAGTAAACTCAACTCTAAAAAACTAGTTAGACCTGTTTACATCGGGGGTAAATGTTTCCTATTTCAGACCACGTGTCACTTCCTAGAGTATCATTTCTTTGTTTAATGGTTACCCATTTGACCTTTTCTGAGATAGCGAACATGGTGCATTGTAGTTTATCTTGGGTAAAAACATCTTTTGTCCATCTTGCCTTGCATGGTGCTGTTAGTACAGAAGTTAGACCACAATGTATTCCGTTTATTTGAACTTAGAGAAGGCCTATGAGAAGTTACTCATGAATATGGGTACAACTCAAACGAAGAATCTCATTCTCAAGGGAATGACACACATGGGTGGCCTAGTGGTTTCTGCTCACCTCTCACCGCTATGGTCCAGGTTCGAGCCCCGGCTCAGACTGGATCATATGTGAGTTGAATTTGTTAGATGTGTTGTTCTCTCCCTTGCTACGAGGATTTTTTTTCTGGGTTCTCCGGTTTCCTCCCTCCGTACAACTCAACATGTGAGTTGAATGTAGTGGTAGTGAGTCTGGAGGGAACCTCACGGAAGAGCACTGTAAGGCGAGAGTTTTCTTCGATTGCACGTTACGTCATCGCTGCCTATTGGGGGAGCGTTGGTACCATTTAACAAAAGATTTCTTATTAGCATCGATTGTGAACGGCACCATGCACAATGGCCTCCATGCTTTTGTTTTTTTACTCTCTTGGAAATGCTTCCAACCCATCAATATTTTTAAATTACGACCAAGTTGAAAGTGTCTGTTGTAGGAAAGAGGGGAGGATGAATCGGTCCAGTTATTTGCTGTTCAGTGCATGAGGATTAGTGGTGATTATAAACTTCTGCTTGTGATTCAGGTGATGTACCAACCGAAGTCATGGAACAGCTTATTCGAAGTGTGCTGGTTTGTCTGGCATCAAGAAGCAAAGAAATCATTAAATCTACTCTTGGCTTCTTTAAGGTACTAAGCAAACCACTTCATCATTACTGTTTTCATTGCCACGTCCTGATCAAGACAAACACCATGACGGGTTACTTTACAATGGACCAAATCTACTTGACGATAATGTTTTCCCATTTCAGACCCACGTGTCATTCCCTTGAAAATAAGATTCTCTGTTTCAGTTGTATCCATATTCACGTCTCTTCTCATTCGCAACTGTTAAACAAAGAAATGGTACTCTAGGGAATGACACGTGGTCTGAAATGGGAAAACCTTACGCCCGAGTGGATTTGGCCCAAGTGGATTTGGCCTAACTGCCATCATTCATAAATCGTTCCTATGTGCCTTTACATCTCTAACAATTTATTTTGATTGACAGCAGTCTGTTGCCCATTAACATGTCGAGACTTGCCTCGATCAGCGCGTAGCGATGAAAACAGTTTCAACTAGTTATGCTTTTCTTCTTTTTTATCTTTTGCGATAAAAGTTAATTATGTTCTACTTATTTGTGCAGGTTGTCATTTCCGTGCTGAGTAGAGAAGATCTTGCACCGTACGCCCAGGATCTGGTATGATGCCTAACTGATGTGTTATCTATTGCCTGTTTATCTTTGTTGGTCGTCGCTTTTAATATTACGGTATTGTTTTCGTTGCCAGGCAAGTGGCGTGGTCACGTGGAATGAAGATAATCGTCGTCGCTTTCGGTACAACGTTAAAGTGCTGTTTGAGAGACTTATTCGTAAGTTCGGGTAAGTTGAATTGTTTTTTTTT